AAAAATAGAAAACCGGTTTTTGTAATTTAAAAACCTGTTTTTAAATGTGTAAAATTTGTTTGAAAAACCGGTTATTAGCTATTTTCCTCTCCATTCAGCCAGCTTATATAAGTCTTGCTGTAACAGTCTTTGACTGTTTTAATGACTGAAATAATATTTTTGTCATCTGCATATAATTTGTCATGAATAATTATGTCATGTGTTAAATCATTTATATGGATAACAAATAAAAGAGGTCCATTAACTGGTCCTTGTATGCACAAACTGAGTCAAAAGTTTTAGCAAAGTCTAGAAAAGCTATATCTATTGCTAAATTGTCCTTAAGAGCTTGGATTATTATGTTTAATGTTTCGAGTAAATTTGTGCAATAACTTTTAGATGATACAAATCCATGTTGAGAGTCTGAGAGTAAACTATTCTTAGTCAAGTGATTCATTATTGTGTCTCTTATTATGCTTTTCATCACTTTACATACTATCGATTTGAGTGATACTGGCTGATAATTTGTTTCTTTTAATTTATCTTCTTTCTTAAACAAAGGGGTAATATTTGCACTTAACCATAAATATGGAACAATGCCACTCGAGAATGAACAATCAAAAATAATTGATAGTTGTTTTGAAATACTTCTGCAGCATTCTTTTAGTACTCTAGGGTGTATTATGTCTACTCCAGTTGATTTGTAAACATTTAGAGTTGCAAGCTTCTTACTAAATGTTTCAATATCGAATGTGAGGTTTGGGCATAAAATATTGAATTGTTTTGGAAACTCTAGCAGGTTTTCATCTTCAGTAGTAAAAACTGTGCTAAAAAATTGTTTAGTTTGTTCGTAATCTCAGATAAATTAATTATTCAATTTAGTAGTAATTATTCAATTTTTATTCTCAAGAGCTCAAATATAATCTTTAATTAAAGTTTTATTATTTATATATTGTTAAACTATTTTGGAATTCTCCTTAGCATTTTTTGCTATTTTGTGTTCATTTTTAACAATTGCATCTTTAATAGTCTTTTTCATTTTGTTTTTGATGTATTTATATTTAGTCTCAAGTTCTTGATCTCTGAATTTTGCATTTCTACACTTTGTCCTTAAACTCTTTTTTCTTTAATCAATATAGATAGGTTTTTATTAGACCAAGGTGCTTTTTTCCTTCTTTTTTTTGATATAGTTTACAGTATATTAAAAGTGAAAGTGTTTTATAATGTTCTTACCATTTTTCGTAACACTCCTTACCAATTTACAAATATTTTTTGAACAGTCAATACTATTGAAGTGTTTGTTAATTTCATCATAGTTTCCTTTATCATAAACGGTTTTTTTTAAAAATTAAAATCTACTGCAATTTCTTCTGATAAACTGTAATTGTAACTATAGGTTAAGTGTGATGACCGTGTTTAATCGATTTATTTTGATATCTGCTGCTCATTGCGTTTGAATACACATAGATAGGCTGTAATACTGCAACCAAATACATAACAAACCATGGGTCACAGGAAGGGTAACGTGTTAATCAATAGGCTACTGTCTGCTTGGGATGAGCGTCATCGTGTATCTCAACCAATGAAAACATTTGTTGTGTGTCTAAGCACAGCAGCCCAAGTTAGAAAATATCAGAATAAAAAAAGCTAAAACATTTGCAAAAAAAAAAACAAAATCATTTTCCATAATTAAAAGTAGAAAATAATCTTTTTAATTTAAATTTAATAATTCAGTAAACTAAAAACTGACATTGTCTCCACATGAATCATTTTTGAAACAGACTTTAAAAAGTTTGTTTTTAAACTAAATTACTGTATTTTTAGTCTTTGAATGAGTTTGCCATGAGTTTCAGTTGCTCAATTTTTTTTAAGCTTCACATGCTTGATCTGTTTTTTTTTTTTTTCTTTTGTGTAGCTGTTTTTAAAAGTTTCTTATTTTATATATTTTTTTATTATATACATTATTGCTTATTATATTAAATTATAATAATATTATATTAAAAATTACTTTGTATTTTTGTTATGTTTCTTTATAGTTTGGTTTGTTTACTTTATATTGTTTTAAAATTATGTAGTAATCGAATTATAATTTATAATAATAATCAGACTATATGATAATTGAACCATTTCAAAACTTTTGTGAACTTATATTATTGCTATATTTTCAAATTTTCACTCATTTAAATCAAAATAATATAAAATGTTTTAACTAATTAAAAATGTTAAAAAATATCAAGTGGTTTAATATATAGATTTCTGGTAATCATTGACATGATTATTGACCAATTAATGGGTTGTTCAGACAACAGGGAATAAATAAATTTGATGAATAGTTGCGATGAAGTGTAAAGAAAGATTTAAAAAAAATGAAAAAGGCGTCAAAATTGTGAAGTTGATAAAACTAAAGCTATTTGTAACCACTGCAAAGATGAATTTTCTTATCATTGGAATACCTCGAGTCTGAAGAATGTCTTAAATGCAATGCACTCCATTAATGCTAGCAAATTACCCACCTAAACAAATAGTGGAAAAAGCATTACATTGTGTACTAAATGTTGCCCTTGCCAGAGATTACTGGACATTGCTGCCTAACCCTAGTTATCTTGGATTTACAGTGCATTAAGTTGATGAGTAACAGGAAATGCATTCACATGTTCTGGGAGTAATGACACAAGAACACAAGACAAACACAAACAACACAAGAGAGGCATTTTGCTGAAACGTGAGCTGGACGATTCCTCAGCACTTGTTAGACTGTGTTTAAAATGGTAGGCCATTTTAAACACAGTCTAAC